ACTCATACCCGGACAGGGTATGAGGAGGTTGTATATTTGACGTCCATTATTGGACGAGGTATGGGGACAACCAGTTTATTAATATAATAGATACTTAGTCCACGTGTATTGGGAAACCTTTATAAACTTCTAGCGATACCGGTAAGTAAGTAAAAAAGTAAAGTTTGATTACTGATGGTCTTTTAAAATATATGATGTGTATTGTTGTTCTAGTTCTTTTAAATGGTATCTGGGAACTTAAAAGTGAATAAGGAATAAATGTTTTCAAGTTAAATGAATTTACTTAAATCGAAAAATAAGATTCATTGGTTGTTTTATAGTTTCTACAAACCTTTGATTTTTCTGTATCGGTAGTAAAGAGTTGATATTTTTACAGAGTTAGTATAGTTCATACCTTTCTTATTGATCATTTCATATCATGACGACGAAGATCCGGATTTTAAACAATAAGAAAATTTGTAAAAAGGTTGCCCTATGCTTTTTTCTAATTCCGCAGCGGAGGTTGATCACTTAGATTTTCAGTTTAAACTTTTTTTTTTATATTTTCAATGGGTATTCTCGTAATCTTATTAGATATTTTAATTAAACTGTACAAGAAATATAATCTTAAATTTTAAACTGTTTCTACAAATTAATAAATTTCAGTGTCATTTTATTACGTGCATTTTGGACTTTTACATAAGGTGTTTAGAAGTTATAATTCTTGATTTTGTTACTTTAGAATTGCAATATCATTTTTTGTCGAAATAATTTTATATTTGGTGTCGATGTGTTATTTAATTAAGAAAATAAATTAAAGTTAATTAAAAAAAATTATTTAAATACAAATAATTAATTGAATAGTCTCCTATCAACTTAAATTTTTGGAGAATCATTTCAATCAATATTGAGGATGATAATATATATAAAAGTCTCGTATTTCTAATTCTGATAGATTATTTCTATTAAAAAAAATTAATTTCGTACTAATTTTGATAAATTTATACATGATTCACGTTTTCAATAAACATATTAAATATAACTTCAATTTTTGAGAGAATCAACCCAATTAATTATTTAAGAAAAAAATATTGGAGATATATATTACTTATGGAGCTTAGTTTGTGATAGAAATGCTTTGGTGATTTATGAAAAAACATGAGTCCAGGTGTTTTCTTTGGAGAACAACACGAAAACTCACATAGAGAAAAGAGAGATATATTTAATTGATCTCAATCTATGGAACTTCCTAGAGATTGACTCACCCACTG